TTTGACTTCAGCTGTTGTATTCCGATACCATAACCATAGAGAATCTTTCTTTGATATCCTTCCATAATTCTCTTGCATTTTCAGCATAAGACATGGTAGAACAAAGCCCAGCTTCAATGGTATTTAGGATCCACAACACAACATAGATTGAAAAGTCCACCAATCTTAAATTTGATCAGAGTTTTCCTGTGTGTTTCAATGGTGCCTTCTATAAAGCCCCATTTTCTATAAGCACGCAACGATATTTTCATGGCATGCGCCCATTCTTCATAGTTCTCCCCTCAACCATAGAGAATCTTTCTTTGATATCAGCATAAGACATGTAGAACGAAGCCCAGCTTCAATGGTATTTAGGATCCACAACACCAACATAGATTGAAAAGTCCACCAATCTTAAATTTGATCAGAGTTTTCCTGTGTGTTTCAATGGTGCCTTCTATAAAGCCCCATTTTCTATAAGCACGCAACGATATTTTCATGGCATGCGCCCATTCTTCATAGTTCCCCTCAAAATCGCACTTGAGTTATTAAGTTTCCTGTTTATCATTGTAATTCAAATCATACTGCAATGGAGTTTTCTTCACCGTTTTGTCAATAGTCTCTTTAGAAGACTTTTTTCTTCATGATTAGGCATTGTCTCAAAATCTCAAGTAAAACCTGTCGTGCTCTGGTACCATAAAATTCTGATCTGATTTGTATGCACTGCAGTATGCAAATATATATACAAAGAGGCACATAATTGACATAATCGACAACAATTATGAGACAATTAGCACACTAATTGTAATTCATTTCCTCAGATTAGTGAATTTGAATCCTGTTTTCCAAATCAAATTAACTTATGTTGGTAAATTTGAATCTCTTGATTACTAAACATTTATACTTTAAGCTTGAAAAACAACATCAATACTTTGATGGAAATATCAATTATAATCCAAACAGTTTAAACTCACATTTTAAACACCCCAATATAGTTTTTTTTTCCTTTCAAAATCAGATCTCTAGCCAATCTATTAAAACCAAATCTATCAAAGTCTAACCAAATCACTTCTAGAGATAATCAAAATAACAAGCTAATGTAAGTATTAACATGACCAAAAATATAATTTAAGCCTATGAAATTAACATTTACTAGTTGCAAAAAACCTGAAGGCAACCAACATTTGTCTGGTTAACATGTGGAACTAATTATCATAAAGCAATCATAACTTGATGAAGCATAGCTAACCAACAGATCATAAAAACAAAACGTTATAAAGCGAACCTATGTTGCAGGAACATGATAAACAGAGTGTGAACAAAGCCATGGTGAAACTATTCAAACCCAATTGTGGCTACTTAGCTTTACCCCTAGTACTCCTACTGTTTTGAATGCTGTGAACACTTTTCTTTGATTGCTTCTTAGCTGGAGCTGGTTTCTTCTTTTCAACTTGATCACTGTCATCGTCATTATCAGTACCAGCATCACCATCATTGTCATCATCACTTTCCTCGGTCTTTTTTCTTTTAGAAGGTTTTCTACCTTTAGCTCCAGCCTTTGTTCCCTTCTTTCCCAAATTCTGGTCTTCCTTTTTTGTAGGATCCTCAATGTCATCGTTGTCATCATTATCTACTTTTGCTTTCATTGAGGTTTTCCCTCTAGCTTTACCAGTTTTCTTTTAACTTTTGTGGTCCACTTAGCTTTTGCAGCTCTGGCACGTACGCAGTTGTCTGAGAGCAATAACATTTGCAGGTTAGATATAAATGAAAGATGTTGGCAAAAAAAATCAATAAGGGCAGCGTTCAGAATGGTATACCCTGCCACCTGCAGTGATGAAGTCAATTTCTTTCCCTGCAATCACATGAAAATGTATAAATGTTTGATTTCTTATTATTGGACACGAAAGCAGTGTGTATTTCATATAGTATGTAGGCATGGCAAAAGAAACCCGTGAGTGTCAACATGGAATCCTATCCTCAATTATTAATCATGGTTCTTCCATTTGATACATTCAAAACAATCAATGTATAGTATCAAAACTACAATGTCACACTTCCCACAAGTACTAACGCTTCATTAGTTACGTGATCATTCCGCTATCATATAAAGACACATAAGAATTTGCAACTTTTATCTGCAGTCTTATCAGAAATGGCAAAACAAGACCAGTATTGATACACTCTGGATGCAACAATAGTAAATCACATTGATCCAACAATAGTAAATCACACCAATCAAGAATACAAGTTATTCAATTTACCACAATTTTTAGGTAAACTGCACATGAAATTAAAATATAAGCAGCTAGAGACCATAGTAAATAGGGCATCGTTCATGTTGTGCAAAATACATATTATTTCTTATTTTTTACACAAAGTAGGGAAGCAGACCGTCAACAAAAGCTTTGCCGGGGCTTCTTTTCACGAAAATGAAATATCCAATTAGTGGGATATTGACTACTATCTGCTCCAACTTCAACTGCTTTTTCAATAACCTGTAAAATAAATCTATTTGTCAACTTATAAATGGTAGAAAAGTATTCCTCACCACTTATTTTTCCAGGCTTTTTCCCCCATCGAAAATGAAATAACCATTCAAGGGGAAAACGGCTACAGTCAGCATCAACTCCAACCGCAAATTGAATAACCTACAGTTTTATCCTCTATTTTATGGAGTCTACATGTTCCATATCTATAAACAATTCAAAGGAACCAGCATCCCCACCTCTTTAATGCACTCATACAAAGTTGAGCAGTTTTCTCCCGACAAGCTAGAAGCTGTCTGCTGTGGATGAATCCTTGCCTGGAAATATGGGAAATATATTAAATTATAAAGCATGGAGTAAATTATCTAAGGCTAGAAATATAGTTTATTAACCACTGACTTCAAAAAGAAGGCCAGAACAGATACTAGATACAGTGAAATGCTATTTCCAAAAAAAAAATTGAAGCTCCTGCCTCCTAAATGCCTAATAATAATTAATAAATACAGATGCAAAACAAGCAGCGCCACTAAAACCATTTCCCATTATGTAGTATATCGGTCTCATGAATCCAATAATGTCATAGTAACCTATCATGAAATCTTGTCTGGCAACAGAAATTTTGATTCCAAATTGTTCCTAGATGTTTGACAATTGAATTCTAAAATCTAGTAAATAATTAGAGTTGCCAACAGCTTATATTCATCTAGATCGATTACAATTCTATATCAAAAAGGTAGGTGATTTCACTACACAAATAATAAGTTAAGAATCTATATCAAAACAGAAGGTGATTTCACTACCCAAATAATAAGTTAAGAACACAAATCTGCATCCAATGTTCATTTTAAATTTTTTAGAAAGCATCATTAATCCTCAAGGTGGAAGCCTCACAATCAAATCTCTTTAGGAAGAACCGTGACCTATATGGAGGGCGGTTTCCCCATTTATTCTGTGTACGCTATGTCCACCACACAGACACAAAGGAATATTCATATCTAAGACTAAAAGTAACTTATAAGCATCATAGGTTCCAACATATTTCTTCTGAACAAAAGTTATGCTTTTTTTTTCTGTTCTAACTAAATTTCAGACCATTCACAATCTTGATGACATGAACATGTATCTCTGTTCAATCTGCATACGGTAAAGGATATAAAGAAACCTATATGGAGGACTATATAAAACTATCATCTTGCTGAAAACCAAGGACGTGATATTGGTCTATTAAAACTCAATGAAGCACATCGATATTTCTTGAAAACATCTTGATCACTGCCTATTAACTATTATCACATAACCATACATTTAAATTGCAAAAAAGATCAACTTTAGATGAGGATTAAAACTTAAAGCTTAATAAGTTAAATACAATTATACTAAAAATTCTTCTGTAGTTAAAAATTTATTGGAAAATATCAAATATTCAAAATCATTGAGGAAATGAAGGATGCACTTACTTGGTAAAGTACTTCATCTGCAACCCAATTTCCAATACCTGAAATATAGCTCTGCAAAGAATGGAAATTAAATATATTTTATAAATGATAAAGTCTACAGTAACATAAAATTCTTATGCATTGTGAAACCACAACAAGAGAAAGATGTAAAGGACAGAGAAATCGGCATATAAAGGGCTGTGCATTAAGAAAAACTACGGCATAATAAAAAGTTAGCAGACCAATATTAAAACAGAGAAAAATAGTGCATATGTATAGTAAAACAACTATATCCTGATCATAAATAAGCAAAATAAAAATTTTAAAAACAGAATAAAATATTTGGGAAGTGATGAAGGTAAGCTGTTAATACTTGATCTAGTAATAAAGCCTTGATTTCAGTTTTCTTCTTGTGCAAACGCCCAGTGAATTCGTCAAGTGTCATGGGTTCAAAGAGTGCATCAGGACCAAGCTCAGATATGGGAGGCACTGATGTCGGCTATATCAAGAAAAAATAGAGTTAATACCAAACTCTTATTTATATGGATGACAATTTGCAAGTAGGGTCACAATACATCTTTGAGCAGGCGAACTTTAGCAAATCTCCTTTTGTCAGTGAAGGATATCTCCAAACCATCATCTAGCTGCACCAACGCAATTAAACTTTGTTAGTATTCTATTGCAGTTCACATGAATGACAATACTCACTAGAGAAGCATATCACCATATATCAAGGCTGACTATACTTGCAAAGAAAATTGAAAAATTACAAGACAAATCACCTACGGGCAGGCAGAACTTCATACTGTTTATGCTCTTATGTATTAAATGGAAAAAATCAAATAAGAGGAAACATGTAGAAAGTTCAAACTGCAGGTATTGAAAAAATCTAATGTGTTAGAATTTGGACTAAACCTAACTCAACACCAAAAGTTGGGTCCAAGAATGAGGATACTCCAACTCTTCGAAGGAATACTTCGACAATATCTCTAATAAATGTGAGATCTCAAAAAAATGCTTCACTACACACTATGATTTAATACTCCATTCATTCCTTTTTAGTTGTCATTTTAAGATTATATACATATACCAAGACAACCAATAAATTGTTACTTATTTGACCAGAAAAGTAATTTTCTCTCACACCATGAAACCAAGTTTTCTGGATGTAGACAAATTAATCTGTAAAAGTATATAGTAGCCACAAATAGAAAATCTCGTCCAACTCTACCATAGTATAAGCTACTAGCATCTTACAACTGAATACAGATCTTATGAGTCCCCAACAAATAGTCCATTTAAATTTTTCATCAAATATAAAACAAAGCATCAGACTATGCGAGGCTACATTCCTAAGGACTCAAGAGTGATAAGTTCAAGCATTCCAATCATCAATAGAGTGACAACTGTTACCTGAATAAAAAACTTTGAATATTTGGAAGGCCATTCGTCCTCATCATTTACAGCAGACCTGTTTGGAAGTTTGTATCATTACATTAACCATTGAGGGAAATTATAGGCACCAAATCATTGCAACAAAATAACAAACAAAACTCAGGTGGTTCTACACATTGAGACATGTAAACTTAGGTCAACATCAAATTAAAACTTTACAAATAAGGGTAAAATAAGAAATTAACCCATTGAAAACACTTATTTCGCATCCTGAAGCTAATTCCTACCAAAAAGTTAACATCTGAACTCGGATCAAATAAATTTTGTTGTTTTATGCTTCTAACACAGCAACAGACTCTGCATATTTAAATTTACATTTTCTTACTGTTTAATGAACTACATAAAACACCAACATATGCTGGCGTCCTTCAGCTACAATCACCTACTTATTGAAGTTTAGAGAAGGATGAGTTTTCATTTCCATTGAATTGAAAATTCTTACAATAATACACAGGGGAGAGTCATTAAATAGTTAGTGTAACACTAACCAATTGACAAAATTTGCTAACTGACCAACAAACAACCCTAACTAACTTCCAAAAGCTAATTAAAAGGATTCAATAACAGAAACTGACTAAGATAAGCTGAAATAGACAGATTGATACTACTTGCATATATGGAAGAAAAAAACTGCATAACAGCATTTCTCTGAAAATTTGCAGCTTGATACTAGGAATGACACTCAGTCAAGGTTTTAAAATACTGGCCGGCGAAAACGGCCGCGACGAACCAACACAATCAGTATCGCAACACATGCACCAACCGCAATCGCGAAAGTCTTTACACCACCCAAGGCGACCATTATTTAAAAACCTTGATCTGAGTCTTTGTCATCAAATATTTGAAAACGTGAGCAGGCCTCACCTTTTGTACTTTGTTACTGCAACTCCCTTGATGTATATTGCACCAGCCATACCTAACAAACAGTTATAAAAAGAAACCCGCAGGTTAGAGAGAGAAGAGGAAGCTAGGGTTTTGAAAAGTTTAAGGAAGAGACGGAGAGAGTACCGAATTGGAAGGAAGGAAAAGGTGGAGAATCGAGCTGAAGCCACATGTTCTTGCCCTTCCGGCGAGCTGCGACAATGGTTTTTCCGATGACGGAAGCTTCGAATTCGGAGTGAGAAACACTGTCGATGACTTTTGAATCATCGGCGACTATGCATTTGGTTATCTTTTTCCCGGTACAGTTCTCTTCCACCGCCTTCCTCGCCGCCTCTACCTCTGGTAGCTCCGGCATTGTGCTTGCTCGCTCCGAGAGTTTTCCCGCGTTGCTTCTCTTCTCTTCTTACAAGTACGCTATTCTTTGATCATTCGTTCTGTTTTTGGGTTTTAAGCTATTGTACCGTTGCATCTGAGAAGCAAATCGTATCCGTTGATAGTGTTGTCGCTGTGTGCCAAACAACGGCTCTCATTCTTCACAATATTTCACTTTCCATTTGTCATTAGGCCCAAGTAGGCGGGGAAATAAGCGGGCCTATTTAGGCTTTGTCAAGTTTTAGTTTGTCCTAGATTTATTTTTGGTTTGGGTTTGTCCTTTTCAAATGTCTAATTCACCTATTAGCCTATTTAAAAAGTTTATATCATTTGAACATATATAAATAAGTAATTCAATTAATGTTTAAATAGATTAGAGAATCAAAAGTACAATGAGATTGAATGTTTGTTTGCGTTGACTTATCTTATATAGTAGCATAAGTTTTGTGAAATAATTTGTTTGAGAAAACTTATGAAAACATCATATGACATTATACATAGGATCTACTTCAACTTATTTTCATAATTTTCATAAGTTCTTCAAGATAAGTATATTTTACTTTTGTATTTTAATATAAAGTATAAAATACAATTTAAAAATAATAAATTCATTCATATTTATTAAAATAGGATAGTCTAGTAGACTTATAAGCTTTTTTGTATTGTATATGACCTAGCTTATTTAACTAAATAGATAGAGTTTGATGCTCCAGAAAAGCCGAATGTTATAACTGCTCTCATGCCCAAACATGGTCGTGGAGTTAATGTTGTTGACACCGATTTGTTTGTGACCTCTATTGAAGAAATTTCTACTCCTCTTATGACTGTTAAGAAGAATGTGTTGTTGGCCGGTTTATTTTCGGGTTGTGGTGAAGGTTGCCACATGTGTTCGATTATACCTTCTGGTTGTCGTTTGTTGAAGTCAAGTGTTCAGCGCCTGATGGATAATAAAAAAAATTGTTTGAGAAGACTATGATTCCTGTGGTTCCAAATGAAGACGTCGCCATTGTAACCATTTCCGCCAATCCTTCCAAGGTTTCCTCGAGAAGACCTGTTAGGATTACACCTATTCAAAGAATTGCTCCGCTAATAATCACAGTTCCCGGTCCCATCCCGTACACCTCAGACAAGGCTGTCCCATGGCATTACGGTGCTGATGTGTACTATCATGGCATTAAGCAAGAGTTGAAGAATGAAGAAGTTGATACTGATGTCAGTAATATTGACGGGACTAGTAAAGTTACCCGAAGTGGAAGGGTTTTCTCTCCCGAGATTTCCCCGAAGACTATCATCAAGCCTACTGTTATTCCAACTGTTGTTCTAACCGGCACTCCTGACATTTCTCTTGTTCCTACTCCAGTTATTACACCTGCTACTATTCTTATTCTTACTCCAGTTATCACCCCCTGCTGCTGAGCCATCTGGGACTCAGGGCAAGGAAATTATAGGTGAGCCTGTCCGGACGGAGGCACCTAAGAAAATTGTTGTGGAAACCTCTAAACAAGAAATAGAGGAAATACTGAAAATTATCAAGAAAAGCGACTACAATATGGTCGAACAGTTGGGGCAGACCCCGTCAAAGATCTCCATGTTGTCTCTGCTGTTGTGTTCTGAAGCCCATGCGAAGGCTTTGATTGCCTTTCTCAAGACTGCGCATGTGCCGCAGGAAACTTCAGCAGATCAGTTTAAAGATTATGTGGCCAGCCTGACTGCTGATAATGGGCTAGGTTTTTCATATGCGAATCTGACACCGAAAGGAAGAAATCATAATGATGTTATGCATGTCTCGATCGAGTGCAGGGGCACCACTATGGCCCATGTGCTGGTAGATATCGGGTCCTCACTGAATGTTCTGCCAAAGAAAGCGTTAGACTATCTAGATTGTGAAGGTTTGATTCAAAAGCCGAGTAACATTATGGTAAGGGCTTTAGATGGATAAAAAATGGTGCATGGGGAGGTGGAGATCCCTATCAAAGTGGGTTCTCAGACCTTTGGGTCCACCTTATACGTAATGGATATCAGACTTTATTCTTGGTTGCTGGGTCGTCCTTGGATTCATAAGGCTGGGGCAGTTACTTCCACACTCCATCAAATGTTGAAATATCCGGTGAAGGGGAAGATTGTCACGGTGTAAGGTAAAGAAGAGTATATGGTGAGTCATCTCAATTCCTTCCGCTATGTAGAAATGGACGGGGAATTCATAGAAACTCCTTGTCAAAATTTCAAAGAGGTCCCTCAGTTCTCGGTATCAACTGAAGTTACTATCGGTAAACCTTTGTTGAAGATGGCTTCTCTCAAAGACGCCAGGTGTGATACGGTGGGAGAACTGACTTGAGGTTTTGCGTTTGTTTTTGCAAATGTTTCGGTTGAGCAAGAGTCGCCACCGACTTTTTATTTTATCCTAAGGAAAGGTTTAAAAAGCACAACAAAAACCTTTGAGATTTTTCTTGGGTTCGGGGAGTAGATTATAGAAAGGGAAGGTATTAGCACCATTTCTATCCATGGTTATCCATGGGCTCTTAGTTACTTGCTTAGATCACTTGCCTTTTTTTTTTCAATTGTTTGAAATGGTGCTTGTGTGTGGGTTTGAAAAATGTTTTGAAAAGAAGCCATTGTGGTGGCAACCTTTGTAATGATCCATGTGGGGATGTATACAAAGGTGTAGGTTTTTTGAAAAGGTTTTCATTTGTTTTTGAAAGTTGTTTTTGAAAGTGTTGTGAAGTGTGGTTTTAGAAAATAGGCAAGTGTTTTGTTTTAGCAAGTTTGATTCAAGTAACTAAGAGGTTATCTACTCCTAAATTTCTCAAAGATTACTGCTATGTTTTAACCCTTTTAACAAGTTTGTTCCACCATTGTATTTGGTGGACAATCTCATGTTAGGATGTGAAAGGGACAGGCGCGGGTCATCGTTTAGGCCATAATTGCAATGGTGCCAAGTATCTTTGGGCATTTTCTTTAAGGGACTTGATCATTTGTTTAAGCAATATTTTGAAAGTGTTATTGAGGGACTATGATCATTTGATTTGTTTGTTTTGCCCAAAGAGACCTAACATGCAACATGGCCCAATTTTGAAAGGCAACAAGTGGAATACCCTAGGGGGTGCAAGTGTGATTTGTGTGTTCATTTTCATGCTTGTTTGTCTTGAGATTAGGTCATAACTATTTTGTCGTTTTTTCGCATACAAACCCTAATTCTAACATGGTATAATTAGAAAGCAATAAAGTGCGAAAATAAATTTACTAAGCTATTACAAAACCAAATATGGGAAGGGGGGTACAAATGTTCAAATGGGGGTTTTGACAAGGAATTTAAACCTAAAACTATTACATCAATGTTGAATATTTACAAGACAAATAATTGTACAATTAAAGGGAAATTGAAATAAATATGCAAAATGTAAAAAGAATTTTTATGTGTATGAAAAAAAAAGAATATTATTTATGTGAAATAAAAAGAGAAATAAAAAGGTATTATTTTTGGAGTATTTTCAATTTTAGGGTAAAACCCTAATTCTATTAAATAAAATACATTATTCATTTATTATGTACAAATATTTATTTATATATGCAAAATAAAATAAAATGAGGTATTTGTCCAGAATGTATTTTTATATTAATAATAATAAAAAAACAAAAATGTATATATTTTGTATTTACTCTAAATATATTAATAAATATATGTATATATGTATTATTTTAGATATGTATTATATATATATAAATAATAACAATATTTAATATTTGTAAAAAAAGTATTTTTTATATAAAGTATTTTCAGAAGGTAAAATAAAATAAAATAAAAATAAAAATGTATTTACACCATTTTAACATTTTTTAAATAAAAGTATATTTATTTACCTATTTATATTCAAATAACTAGTCTAACTAAATAAATATCCAATAAATAGGAAAATGGTATAAAAAAATATTTTTATGTTTTATATATGATGAGGAAAAATAAATAAATCAGGCCAAAAAAAGAAAAGTCAAAAAAACCTTAAAATGAATGAAATGGGCTTGGGGGTGCAAAACCAAAAACATGGTGTGAATAAGAAATATGAAACAAGCCCAGCCCAATAGACCCTTCTTCAACCTCCAGCCAAAAAACGTTCAGAAAACGCGCGCTTGGTTCTAACATTCAAACATCCTGATTCCTGGCTCATTAATGAAAACTCATAACACAAAAAATGTTCAGCATTAAGAGACGAATCCAACCATATGCAGAACTTGTCCTAACTCTCTAAGATGAGGGAGAATTTATTCTCCCCCAAATCCTAACCTAGATTTTCTGCCATTTTCAAATCTTAAATTCTCTCAGCTCAAGCAAAAGAAATGAAAAGTAAAAACATGTACATGTTCAGTGGCATGAGTAGAACATTGTTTATTCACAAACTTAAAGCTAATGATGCCTAATAAGAGAGATACGAATTCAAAAACTTACCTGTTCAGTTGAAGTTCTATCTGGCAATGTAGAAGCTCTCAGTGCAAAGTGATGATTGGTATAGCTTTCTTGAGGTCCAGGGATACTATTCCAAGTGTTACTTTGCTTTAAAACCTTTTGAATCGAGCTATAGCACTCCACCTGCAAATCAGAAAAGTGAAAATGGTGGAACCAGTTAGAGGGATTACAGGTCGTGTTTTAGCTTTTGGTTAGCTTGCATAGATGGTAGGGAAGGTGTATGAACTGGTTTGGGCAAGAGAGCTTGAGGGAAATGGAGGATGGCACTCAAACTGCAGGCCTGGCCCTGTTTTTGCAGTTTGAAGGTGATTCTGAGATTGGGAGTGTATGAGAGGTATTAGGGTCGTGCAATAGCTTGGTTGAGATGTGTGGAATCTGTTTGATAAGTTTGTCTAAGTGTTTGTAAGCTGATATGAGAGTTGGTACAAGTTATGCTATCTTACTTGAACTTTAAGCAAGCAATGGCCACTTGATGATTCTAGCCTGTACAGGCCCTCACACTATGCTGCATACATTGGCCTTGA